GTTGGCTGTTATAATATTGTCATCACTAATGGTCGCAGGAAACGAGAATAAACCAGGAGGATAATCTTGTATCACGTGTAGGTAGGGGTAGTTGGAGCGTGTGAAGTGTTGTTGAGTAGCATGAGTTGCGCTGTGTGTTGTTACCTCACAGTGAATTGCTCAACTCTATAACCTACATCACAAGGCCGGTGAGCTGCCAGGCTGTGTAAGAAGGGCTCGGCTCATCGTTCCGGGGCACGAAAATTTTCTCTCCTCGTCAGGCAGGTGTTGAGGGGGCGGGCACTGGGAGGAGAGATACTCATTGGTGCAGCTCATTGATCCTTAAGAAAGTTTAATGTTTCGACTCGTGTTTCTGACGGACCATCTCTCCCTCTCTCTCTCTCCCTCACCCTCCCACTCCCTTACCCTCCCACTCCCTCTCATGGTAACCGCACACAATATTGCCTCCCTCCCCCCCTCCACACCCCCCCAACACCCCCCTCATAACACTCACGCCATTTTTCGCTGTTGCAAGTGTGTCTATCAGTTACTCTTCTTTTTTATGTCTTTATGTATCACCTGAAATTTAACCACCTTAATGCTACCTGGCAAGATTAGGTTAGGTTAGGTTAGGTGAGTGTGGTTAATCTTCAGGTGAAATAAACTGGGGTGTCTAACTTTCCAATGATTCCTTTCATTCCTGTATTGTTGTTCATAATAACCTTATCTGTACCTCATCTCTATTGGTTCTATTGTTCCGTGTTAATATCGTGAACAATAAGTAGACCATCCACCTGCTCTTGAGAACAAGGTCATCCATTACACTTCATAATTAATCAAAATTGCTTCATTAATTATACATCATGGTCTTGAAAAGATTTACTGCATAAACAATACTCTCAATAAATCTCTCTTTTATATTCTCGTTATTGCAGACTTTACACTCTTCTTTTATACTTCTATTGACGAAACACTTGTGGAAAATCACCTCAATAACGAGTTAAAATAACGAGTGTTCCAGGAAAATAACGTTGAGTGACGACACAAAAGCCTGAAAAACAATATTGCATCACGGAGCATTTGGTGAGTATCGTGGTAACTAAGATTTCTTTTTTGCCTCGGAGGTGTAAATAAACATAACATTTTTGGTCTGGTGTGTGTGTGTGTGTGTGTGTGTGTGTGTGTGTGTGTGTGTGTGTGTGTGTGTGTGTGTGTGTGTAGGGGAGTGAGTGGTAGGTGTCTGTGTGGTGAGTGGGGGTGGGATAGGAGTGTGTGTGTGGAGGGGGAGGTTGGGGGTAGGTACAGATGCCCGCTTAAGCCACATATTCGAAAAAGCCACTGTGGGTAAATGTACGTTTGTGTATATGTGTGTATGGATGGTTGGTGTGTGATTCTAGAGCAACGAAGACCCACCAACAGAGCTGAGGACAGAAACCACCTTGTTTGTGTCTCTGTATAAGCGATTAAGTAACTATTTAGACACTGAAATCGAGTCACAGGTTCCTGGGTAACAAAATATGTCAGTGTTTACGTGTTCTTTATAGGCGAGCTTGTTCATTTACATAAGATTACTGTTCTACCTAAATTAGTTAGCTCATCCTTGTAGAGTCTGACAATACCTCCATGGGCTGAGGGGCAGAGAACTACTGAAGGAGGAGTCTAAAGGTACTGACTTGTTGACGGATGTGATGCTAAGGAGAGACCCAGTGCCCGCATTCTTACTGGTCTGAACCGTAGTGTCATTGTAAGTGGGGGATGACAATACTGAGGTTATCATAGTGTCGTCGCTGGGATTTCAACGCAATAAGACGTCTTCTTTGTGTCATAGGATACTCTCTCTCTCTCAGTAAGAACCACACAAGTCGAAATTGGAGTTTATATTAGAGCTTAAATATATACCTGGAATGAGAACAAAAGAATTCCTCACTAAACTATAAACACATCTATGAATTTATTTTTTTTATTTTTTGCATGTCAGACTCAGACTGTTGCACAAGTTGGTGTATCATGAGAGAATTTTCCTGTTATCACTGTACATAACACTAGACACTAACTCATAGATCAACTCGTATGATGTGAGAGGTACCGCCACTTTAGTCTCTCCTTGACGTGATGGTTTGACTCTCATCATCGTTTAGATTTTGTTTTGACCCCCAAACACCAGGAAGTCATTTTATCGCTATGGTGTAAAATAAGCACTTCCTTAAAAAATGTAAATATTATGAATTTGTAAATTATTCATATCCAAGAACGTTAAAAAGAGTAGAAGTTCAAGAGGTAATGAGGCAAAAAGTTCATTCAGACAGTTTTACCGTCAACGCTCCCCCGTCCCGCCTGGCCTTGTCTCTTGCCATCTTGTTTCTACTTAACGCGTTTGATTTATATAATTTCCCAGACAGTAAACACTACACTGTATACTTGGTGATACCGACCCATCATCACCTTCCCCAGAATCTCACTTCATGTTCTCAGCCAAATGCGTTTTTGTAATATTGTGTTTACTGATGTTTAGTGAGCGACAAAACTATAATCCCAGTTTTATCTGATGATTTCTTAATGTTGGCGAAACAAAGATTTACCTCGAGTACTTATGAACGATTGGTATGCCTGGTGGGGTAGCATGATATAATCTGAGACGAGAACATGAAGCATATTAATGTATGTTCGAAGCATCCCAGTTTGGTAAATGTGGAAAATAATATGTTTCAGTCAATATAAATGGACAACAAGGATACCCTGGAAACTCAGAGTCACTTTTCCAGGCCCGCCAACTGTTCCAAAGTCCCCAGAGAGCGTGTGGTAAGGCTGGAGTAATTCGTGATACATTTATCCAAAACTGGGAACATAGTTTTGTTGCTCATTAATCCAGGGTCGAACTGCGCGGAACACACACTAGCATATATCATCTTACGATAAGTACAATGTATGGGATTATCCTGTCAACCAGCATATCATAGGTTAAATGATTACTGTGTTCGCATCATGACAAACTCTGTACCATTATAAAACTAGCTGACACCAGAGACACGTTTGAACAATATGTTTACTCTTGACGTGACCGCGTTTGTGAGGAGCAACTTGTGCCGCATCATGCTGAGAGAGACTCCTGGAGGAGGACCACCGCTTGAATGTAAACCTTTGTGACGGTGTGTGTGTGTGTGTGTGTGTGTGTGTGTGTGTGTGTGTGTGTGTGTGTGTGGTTTAGTGGTGCTGTATACTAGTATGATACACGGTCATAAGCGGCGCTGTGCTCCCTCAAGGGGGTGACGTAGCCCCTCCAATTTAGCGTGTAAGTTCTCCCAAGGGAACACCCTCCAACCATCGCTGTAGACATTAGTAACAACCTAGGGAGCTCTGCCGTCCTTCAGGGCCAGTGACTCGAAGATGGAGTTCCCGTAACCATCTTATTTATGTAACATTACCGTCATCAAAGCATGAAGAAACTCTTAGTCATGATAAGAAGCAAAAACGCAGACTCACCTAGTAGGGAAATATACTGTGTATACTGCAACCTTCAGGCTTTCAACACTACAAGTCTCGCTGATGACCATCAGTAGCCGAGCTGTTTGTTGATTCATGTTATGTTGCACCTCACGTGTTGCTCTCATTATTCAGTTTTACACCGCGTACATGTCAGAAATTTTTTAGACTTAATATTTATAAAAAAAATGTATTTATTTTACTCGTCAATCCGTTCTCACTTCTCATCATAATTTGCCCAAACATGAGAATCTGCACTAAAGAACAGCGTCGCGTATTTGAGAATTCTCCTGAAGACCGCAACACATTTACAACATACTCTTCAGATTATTCCAACGTGTTCATCAGATAAGAGAAGTGCTTATAACGAGACGGTGGTAATGTACACACAGTCCGTCACGCGGTCACCTGAAGGCCACCTAATTACTCCCTGTACAAATATATGACGACAAATATTAAAAAAAAATATATATATAAACTTAACTATAATTCCTTCATCATTTAGGAGATGCATCGAATATTTGGAACTTTGGGCCTCAACACTTATCATTTCAACGTGAATTTCTGGGTTGTTTTGTGATCTTGATATCCAAACGTGACATTATTATGAATATAGCTAAGTCAAATCTATCATAATAAAACAAACAATAACTCCTGATTCTTCTTTAGTGATATTTAAGGCTATGAGACCCTTAAGGTAAATATTTTCCCTCCTTGATATCATCTTACATTTGACTCTTAACTAATTATGGTATTACGTTTTACCTTGAGGAAGACAGTGATGAAGAGTAGACAATTCCGAGCACGGCTCACTGTCGCTCCTGTAGACCTCTTACGCTCTCTATCATGTCGACCTCTCGCTCTATATCATGCCGACCTCTCGCTTTCTACCATGCCGACCTCTCGCTTTCTACCATGCCGACCTCTCGCTCTCTATAGTGCCGCCATCTTGCTCTTTGTCATGATGACCTCTCGCTCTCTATCATGCCGACCTCTCGCTCTATAGTGCCGACCTCTTGCTCTCTATCCGACCTCTCGCTTTCTACCATGCCGACCTCTCGCTCTCTATAGTGTCGCCCTCTTGCTCTCTGCCATGATGACCTCTCGCTCTCTATCATGCCGACCTCTCGCTCTCTATAGTGCCGCCCTCTCGCTCTATATCATGCCGCCATCTCTCTCTCTCTCTCTCTCTCTCTCTGTCATGACGACCTCTCTAACACGCCACCCTCTCACTCTCTATCATGCCTCCCTCTCCATTCTCCATATTCTACACTAGAGCCAAATAATGAACCATATCCCCCCCCCTTAAACACACCTCATGAATCGCTAAATAATTTAACTTGGTGAATAAAATGATAAAATGACTCATTAACAACCTTTTAACACAAGTACTGCCTCACGATTTTGACCTGACCGGCTACAAGTTTGCTTCACCTCAGCCTTGTAAGTGAAGCAAACAGTTTCTCTTATATGACCTTGAATTCCTTGACAACCAACTCGTATATAAGGAGCACCAACTCAACTCACCGACACAACTCACCATTCACTGTGAGTCGTAAAGTCTTCCTGTGATATTTTTTCCTTCAACTCCTTCTTCAGTTCCCGACGAGGCCACCGAATATCAGTTTGTTTTTTCCCGGGTATTGTGGTTATAGAAGATCTTCAACCATGAGGGTTTCAACGTTTATAATATTTGCCAGTAAGTTTTTTAGGGTTTCTGTAAAAAAAAAAAGGATATAAATGTGTGTGTGTGTGTGTGTGTGTGTGTGTGTGTGTGTGTGTGTGTGTGTGTGTGTGTGTGTGTGTGTTTTAAGTAGTGATAATTTCAATATTTTGTTTTACATTGGGAAAAGTACAAGTGGTGACTACATAGTAACACAAAGTAAACAGGAACCTAACGTAACATAAACTAGTACTGTACATGTATTGTAACTCAGCAAAAGACGACTTGATTAAAATGGAATCAATTTTACCTTCAATGTTCAGATTTCATTGATAATATAAAAATAAAAGGTAATTGTATCTGACAAAAGTTTCATCGTCTTTAAAAAGCATCAACAAGTACCTTAAAATATCTTAGGCGTTAAATGTTATTGAGAAACATTACATAATTTTTAATACTGTACTGACGTTTTTTTGATGTCTGTAGTAACTGAAATAGATACACACTTACAGATACATGAAATACAGTAAGATACATATATCCACTTTGTAATTTACTTCAGCCATCTCATAATGATTCCACTTAAATCTGGAATGTGGAGTTGCAGTGTTGTCATTTCGTTGCATAAAGCCCTGCAACTTGACCCTTCCAGTCGACCTATGCCTGCGGTTGGCGGGGTGACGAGTGGGTGTGAAAATTTTTGAAATATGTTTGTGATACATGTAGTGAGGAGGCGTGAGAAAGGTCAGTCAGTCAGGAGTAATGTGAGGAGTGACTGTGTGAGTACATACGTTGTTCCAGGAGTTTATGTCAGTACCCCAGGAGTTAATTGTTAAGTTCATTGTTTAGTTCATTTCCAGTCAAAAATTTCTATTAACATGGGCCCGATTCTCAGTGGTTACGAAACTAAGGGTATTTGAAGTTAAAGAAAGATTTACACAATGTTATATTCAATAAACGGTATAAATGTATAGTTTAGTCTATAGTAAATATTTAAAATGGCCGCCTTCAGCTTGGCTCCACACTCTAGCTGGTGGTAACATTGACTGAGTAACACTACCAAGAACATCAGAGTCGTTCTGCAAATGTTCCTCATCATCCACAAATCGACGAAGCAATTCGTCTCATCTAATCGTTTTTTGACTCGTATAACAAGATGATGGCGGCCATTTTGAACATTTATTCGACAGAACGATCCATTTACATCACGTATTCCATACAGCATTTTAATTATATTCTGAAATATCTCTTTTATATCAAATACTCATCATTCCATAAACATTGAGAGTTGGTCCCAGATACAAGGAACATGTTTGGCTGTAAAGACCTCATATATAAAGTATATAGAGGGAGGTGGAGGGAGGTAGAAGCAGAGAGTGACTGTGGTCGGAAAGGGTAGGTAAGAATATGCCTACTATCGCGTCATTTTAACTTGTGTACTTGAGAAATGTTTGATTATTTATGACCACCAGGAGTTGTTATGTTGTTGGGCTATGTCAGGTGATCACTACACACACACACAACCTAACCTAACCTAACCACAACCTAACCTAAACCTAACCTAACCTAACCACAAACTAACCTAAACCTAACTTAACCAAATAATATGATGATTTATTCTCTTCTCAACAGGTTTACTTGGGACATGCTTAACGGATAAACTCAACCATTTAAGTTCAACAAACAGTATTCATGGCAACGGTAATGGAGGTAACGGCAATGGCAACGGTGGGAATGGCAACGGAGGACTAAGTTACTCCCCTCCAACAAATGGCCACAACAGTAATGGTGGCAACGGAGGTAATGGAAATGGCAATGGTAACGGTTTAAGCAGCTACCATCCACCAACATACGGTTTCAGCAGCAACGGTGGTAACGGAAACGGTAACGGGAATGGAAATGGTGGCAATGGAAATGGAGGTAATGGAAATGGCAATGGTAACGGTTTAGGCAGCTACCTACCACCAAAATACGGTTTCAGTAGCAACGGTGGTAACGGAAACGGTATCGGGAATGGAGGTAATGGAAATGGCAACGGTAATGGTGGAAATGGCAACGGAAATGGTCGCTACTCCAATGGAGGTAATGGAAATGGCAATGGTAACGGTTTAAGCAGCTACCATCCACCAACATACGGCTTCAGCAGCAACGGTGGTAACGGAAACGGTAACGGGAATGGAAATGGTGGCAATGGAAATGGAGGTAATGGAAATGGCAATGGTAACGGTTTAGGCGGCTACCTACCACCAACCTACGGTTTCAGTAGCAACGGTGGTAACGGAAACGGTAACGGGAATGGTGGTAATGGAAATGGAAACGGTAATGGTCGCTACTCCAATGGAGGTAATGGAAATGGCAACGGAAATGGTAACGGTAATGGTGGAAATGGCAACGGAAATGGTCGCTACTCCAATGGAGGTAATGGAAATGGCAACGGTAATGGTGGAAACGGCAACGGAAATGGTCGCTACACTAATGGGGGTAATGGAAATGGCAACGGAAATGGTAATGGTCAAAATGGCAACGTTGGTCGACGATACGGACTTCCAAGTGGAAATGGCAACGGTAATGGTGGAAATGGCAACGGAAATGGTCGCTACTCAAATGGAGGTAATGGAAATGGCAACGGTAATGGTGGAAATGGCAACGGAAATGGTCGCTACTCAAATGGAGGTAACGGAAATGGCAACGGTAATGGTGGAAATGGCAACGGAAATGGTCGCTACTCAAATGGAGGTAATGGAAATGGCAACGGTAATGGTGGAAATGGCAACGGAAATGGTCGCTACTCCAATGGAGGTAACGGAAATGGCAACGGTAATGGTGGAAATGGCAACGGAAATGGTCGCTACTCAAATGGAGGTAATGGAAATGGCAACGGTAACGGTCAAAATGGCAACGGGGGACAACGCTACGGACTTCCGTCAAACGGGAGGAATGGTAACGGTGGTTCTAGCAATGGCAACAACGGAAGTGGGTCAAGATATAGTAATACGAAGTATTTGTCATATTTTATCAGTAATGGTAGCAACGGTAATGGCGGCAATGGTAATGGAAATGGTGGAAATGGCAATGGCTATTCCAGTAGTAACGGAAATGGTTCTAACGGTAATGGAAATGGTCACTCTAGTAGTAACGGTAACGGATCCAACGGTAACGGTTCCAACGGGTCCAGCGGATACAGCTACCCGGTGCCAGACACACCCTCCGGCCTCTACGATACGCCCTCCCACTAGGCTCTCCTCACCTCACCTGTGTATACGCCAGAGCTGCTCTCTCTATATGTATAAACTAACAATATATCCCGAAAAAAATATTCATATTATATATACATGAATATCTTTAATATATATGTATTTATTCAACGAAGCAGGAATGCGTACGTGTATAGACAACATGTTTCTTTTGTTTTTTTAAAGTCTTTTGTGTTTTTATAATGAAATTGGACCTCTGGTAAAGTAGATCTGGTTCCAATAATGTTTCTCTATAATATCTTGAATAGTTTCCTGTTGTCTATGCATCGTCTAAATGTGTCATTAAATTATAATAAAACATTATTTCGCTAACAAATACTTTTTTATCCTAATTCCTTAATCGTGTAGTATCTTTAAGTTTAATTTATACTTTGATAATAAAAACTATAATAACTTGAATAATAACAAGTAGTTTTAAAAAGGAAATAATTTTTTTTAGCTAACTGTGTGGTATGTAACAGCCTTTAGTAACAGTCATTACTAAATACATAAAATGAACTATAATTATACATAAACAAGACATTTATATGAAGGCTCAAGCAAATAATGTAACTTGATAGGAATAAGTAATACATCATAACAAAACTACAGCCAACTCTTCCAGTACAGTATCATAAAGGTGTGTTCCAAGGTCCTCTGCCATATACTAATACAAGAACTAATGAAGAAATATCTCATAGTCTCTATACCTCAAGAATCATTCACTGTTGCTCCTCGCTGCCTCCGTTGTTTTGGGATCGAATTGGCGGGAGTTTTATAGTGGAAAAAAAATTTTTGTTGAATAATTTAATGGAAACGACTATCACGTTTCCTTTATAATAGACAAATTTTAAGGTATATAAAAGAGGGAGATAATTCTATATTTAGAGAGGGAGAGATTGAACTGTGGTGGTAATGAGTAGAATAAGACACTATCAACACCAACAGAATAATAGCCATGGTGGGAGACTTTACATATGGGTACACTGAATTATTTATATAACCAGTACATTTAGGATGACTTTACCAAAACAGTATGTCTTTGTCTTTCTGTTCAAGTGTCTCGGCAAGATTGAAGGCCGTTTATTGCTGTGTTGTCCCAAAAGTCAATTGAGCTTTCGGTACACACTGTCTTATCACTCAGGTCTTTTAGGTTTATTTGTTAATATTTCTGGTTGAGATTTTGTAAGGTGATATGATACAACTTTTCGGTCACAATCCAAAGTTTCGACACCCCTGTGGCTGGGTGTTCGCCGAGGCCAGGGTTGAGGTAAGGCTGGGTGATCGCACTCAGACATTCCACCACCACCACAACACACCCGAGACTCAAAACACACGAGCATCGTAGTGCCTCGTTACCACATTGCTGAACTAGTCTGCATCCGATCATCCAGCTTTACCTCAACCCTGGCCTCGGCGAACACCCAGCCAGAGGGGGTGTCGAAACTTTGGATTGTGACTGTACAGGGGTCTGGGGGCCCACCAACGCTCTCAGCTAGGCACGGGGGCTGAGTCGTAGTTGGGAACCTATGAGAATTTTTTTCTTCTGGATTCTAAAAAATATTGAATTGGGGAAATGTATAGACGTAAATATTATATCTCCATAGATTAATTTAACTCGTTCTGAGGTTCATATCTGACAGAAATTCTTATCGCCTGAACACAGAGAATAAGGTGATACAACCACGTGATGCAGTGTTAACTAAATGAATTTGTTAAAGAACCTTAATACGGACTCATCTTAGGTTCTTATGTCTGTCAGTCCTACAGTAATAACATCACCTTGCTGACATTAGTAGACAACTCGACATTGTTCAACCTAGTACTGTAAGTTGTTCGTTTTACCTTGAGGAAAACAGTGATGAAGAGTAGACAATTCCGAGCGCGGCTCACTGTCGCTCCTGTAGCCCTCTTACGCTCTCTTATCATGTCGACCTCTCGCTCTATATCATGCCGACCTCTTGCTTTCTACCATGCCGACCTCTCGCTCTCTATAGTGCCGCCCTCTTGCTCTCTGTCATGATGACCTCTCACTCTCTATCATGCCGACCTCTCGCTCTCTATAGTGCCGCCCTCTTGCTCTCTATCATGATGACCTCTCGCTCTCTATTATGACGCCTTCTCTCTCTCTCTCTCTCTCTCTGGCATGACGACCTCTCTATCACGCCGCCCTCTCGCTCTATATCATGCCGTCATTCTCTCTCTCTCTCTCTCTCTCTCTGTCATGACGACCTCTATCACGCCACCCTCTCACTCTCTATCATGTCTCCCTCTCCCTACCTATCACGACTCTATAAACTGCCAAGAGAAAGATTTTTGATGACAAAGAAAAGAAAGAGTAAATAACAGAGTAGGGAAATAATAGAGTTCATGATAGAGGAAGTGAAAAGAGTAGTGGCAGGAATTAAAGTAGTTAAGGAGTAGAGTCACACAGTACGAGAGTAATGATAAGAGTAAAGGAATAGTTAGAGAGTATTGAACAAATAAAGTAACAAAAAGAAAAAAAAGCGAAAAAGTAGAGTAACGAGAAAGTAGAGTTACGAGAAAGTAGAGTTACGAGAAAGTAGAGTAACGAAAAAGTAGAGTTACGGGAAAGTAGAGTAACGAAAAAGTAGAGTTACGAGAAAGTAGAGTTACGAGGAAGTAAAGCAACGAAAAAGTAGAGTAACGAAAGAGTAAAGTAATAATGTGATAATTGAGTAAAGAAAGAGTATAATTTATAAAGGAGAGAAGCCAATTAATATAACGAGGTCACGTGAGGTTAAAGTATTTAGTGAGGGAGGAGGTTGTCTGTCCACCAGGTGAGGTGAGAGAGAGAGAGAGAGAGAGAGAGAGAGAAAGAGAGAGAGAGAGTTATGTAAATGATTGTAGAAGAAAATAAACACACAATAATCCCTTCATTCTTTTCATTTCCATCAGTTTCTTCATTCTCTTCTTTCTCTTCATTGTTTCCATTCTCCATATTCTACACTAGAGCCAAATAATGAACCATACCCCCCCCCCCCCTTAAACACACCTCATGACTCGCTAAATAATTTAACTTGGTGAATAAAATGATAAAATGACTCATTAACAACCTTTTAACACAAGTACTGCCTCACGATTTTGACCTGACCGGCTACAAGTTTGCTTCACCTCAGCCTTGTAAGTGAAGCAAACAGTTTCTCTTATATGACCTTGAATTCCTTGACAACCAACTCGTATATAAGGAGCACCAACTCAACTCACCGACACAACTCACCATTCACTGTGAGTCGTAAAGTCTTCCTGTGATATTTTTTCCTTCAACTCCTTCTTCAGTTCCCGACGAGGCCACCGAATATCAGTTTGTTTTTTCCCGGGTATTGTGGTTATAGAAGATCTTCAACCATGAGGGTTTCAACGATTATAATATTTGCCAGTAAGTTTTTTAGGGTTTCTGTAAAAAAAAAACAGGAGATAAATGTGTGTGTGTGTGTGTGTGTGTGTGTGTGTGTGTGTGTGTGTTAAGTAGTGATAATTTCAATATTTTGTTTTACATTGGGAAAAGTACAAGTGGTGACTACATAGTAACACAAAGTAAACAGGAACCTAACGTAACATAAACTAGTACTGTACATGTATTGTAACGCAGCAAAAGACGACTTGATTAAAATGGAATCAATTTTACCTTCAATGTTCAGATTTCATTGATAATATAGACATAAAAGTTAATTGTATCTGACAAAAGTTTCATCGTCTTTAAAAAGCATCAACAAGTACCTTAAAATATCTTAGGCGTTAAATGTTATTGAGAAACATTACATAATTGTTAATACTGTACTGACGTTTGTTTGATGTCTGTAGTAACTGAAATAGATACACACTTACAGGTACATGAAATACAGTAAGATACATATTTCCACTTTGTAATTTACTTCAACCATCTCATAATGATTCCACTTAAATCTGGAATGTGGAGTTGCAGTGTTGTCATTTCGTTGCATAAAGCCCTGCAACTTGACCCTTCCAGTCGACCTATGCCTGCGGTTGGCGGGGTGACGAGTGGGTGTGAAAATTTTTGAAATATGTTTGTAATACATGTAGTGAGGAGGCGTGAGAAAGGTCAGTCAGTCAGGAGTAATGTGAGGAGTGACTGTGTGAGTACATACGTTGTTCCAGGAGTTTATGTCAGTACCCCAGGAGTTAATTGTTAAGTTCATTGTTTAGTTCATTTCCAGTCAAAAATTTCTATTAACATGGGCCCGATTCTCAGTGGTTACGAAACTAAGGGTATTTGAAGTTAAAGAAAGATTTACACAATGTTATATTCAATAAACGGTATAAATATATAGTTTAGTCTATAGTAAATATTCAAAATGGCCGCCTTCAGCTTGGCTCCACACTCTAGCTGGTGGTAACATTGATTGAGTAACACTACCAAGAACATCAGAGTCGTTCTGCAAATGTTCCTCATCATCCACAAATCGACGAAGCAATTCGTCTCATCTAATCGTTTTTGGACTCGTATAACAAGCTGATGGCGGCCATTTTGAACATTTATTCGACAGATCGATCCATTTACATCACGTATTCCATACAGCATTTATAATTATATGCTGAAATATCTCTTTTATATCAAATACTCATCATTCCATAAACATTGAGAGTTGGTCCCAGATACAAGGAACATGTTTGGCTGTAAAGACCTCATATATAAAGTATATAGAGGGAGGTGGAGGGAGGTAGAAGCAGAGAGTGACTGTGGTCGGAAAGGGTAGGTAAGAATATGTCTACTATCGCGTCATTTTAACTTGTGTACTTGAGAAATGTTTGATTATTTATGACCACCAGGAGTTGTTATGTTGTTGGGCTATGTCAGGTGATCACTACACACACACACAACCTAACCTAACCTAACCACCAACCTAACCTAACCTAACCTAACCACAAACTAACCTAAACCTAACCTAACCAAATAATATGATGATTTATTCTCTTCTCAACAGGTTTACTTGGGACATCCTTAACGGATAAACTCAACCATTTAAGTTCAACAAACAGTATTCATGGCAACGGTAATGGAGGTAACGGCAATGGCAACGGTGGGAATGGCAACGGAGGACTAAGTTACTCCCCTCCAACAAATGGCCACAACAGTAATGGTGGCAACGGAGGTAATGGAAATGGCAATGGTAACGGTTTAAGCAGCTACCATCCACCAACATACGGCTTCAGCAGCAACGGTGGTAACGGAAACGGTAACGGGAATGGAAATGGTGGCAATGGAAATGGAGGTAATGGAAATGGCAATGGTAACGGTTTAGGCAGCTACCTACCACCAAAATACGGTTTCAGTAGCAACGGTGGTAACGGAAACGGTAACGGGAATGGAGGTAATGGAAATGGCAATGGTAATGGTTATGGCGGCTACCACCAACCTACGGTTTCAGTAGCAACGGTGGTAACGGAAACGGTAACGGGAATGGAGGTAATGGAAATGGAAACGGTAATGGTCGCTACTCCAATGGAGGTAATGGAAATGGCAACGGAAATGGTAACGGTAATGGTGGAAATGGCAACGGAAATGGTCGCTACTCCAATGGAGGTAATGGAAATGGCAACGGTAATGGTGGAAACGGCAACGGAAATGGTCGCTACACTAATGGGGGTAATGGAAATGGCAACGGAAATGGTAATGGTCAAAATGGCAACGTTGGTCGACGATACGGACTTCCAAGTGGAAATGGCAACGGTAATGGTGGAAATAATGGTCGGAAATGGCAACGGAAATGGAACTACTCAAATGGAGGTAATGGTGGAAATGGCAACGGTAATGGTGGAAATGGCAACGGAAATGGTCGCTACTCAAATGGAGGTAATGGAAATGGCAACGGTAATGGTGGAAACGGCAACGGAAATGGTCGCTACTCAAATGGAGGTCACGGTAATGGTGGAAATGGCAACGGAAATGGTCGCTACTCCAATGGAGGTAACGGAAATGGTAACGGCAACGGTCAAAATGGCAACGGGGGACAACGCTACGGACTTCCGTCAAACGGGAGGAATGGTAATGGTGGTTCTAGCAATGGCAACAACGGAAGTGGGTCAAGATATAGTAATACGAAGTATTTGTCATATTTTATCAGTAATGGTAGCAACGGTAATGGCGGCAATGGTAATGGAAATGGTGGAAATGGCAATGGCTATTCCAGTAGTAACGGAAATGGTTCTAACGGTAATGGAAATGGTCACTCTAGTAGTAACGGTAACGGATCCAACGGTAACGGTTCCAACGGGTCCAGCGGATACAGCTACCCGGTGCCAGACACACCCTCCGGCCTCTACGATACGCCCTCCCACTAGGCTCTCCTCACCTCACCTGTGTATACGCCAGAGCTGCTCTCTCTATATGTATAAACTAACAATATATCCCGAAAAAAATATTCATATTATATCTACATGAATATCTTTAATATATATGTATTTATTCAACGAAGCAGGAATGCGTACGTGTATAGACAACATGTTTCTTTTGTTTTTTTAAAGTCTTTTGTGTTTTTTTAATGAAATTGGACCTCTGGTAAAGTAGATCAGGTTCCAATAGTGTTTCTCTGTAATGTCTTGAATAGTTTCCTGTTGTCTATGCATCGTCTAAATGTGTCATTAAATTATAATAAAACATTATTTCGCTAACAAATACTTTTTTATCCTAATTCCTTAATCGTGTAGTATCTTTAAGTTTAATTTATACTTTGATAATATAAACTATAATAACTTGAGTGATAACAAGTAGTTTTAAAAAGGAAATAATTTTTTTTAGCTAACTGTGTGGTATGTAACAGCCTTTAGTAACAGTCATTACTAAATACATAAAATGAACTATAATTATACATAATCAAGACATTTTTATGAAGGCTCAAGCAAATAATGTAACTTGATAAGAATAAGTAATACATCATAACAAAACTACAGCCAACTCTTCCAGTACAGTATCATAAAGGTGTGTTCCAAGGTCCTCTGCCATATACTAATACAAGAACTAATGAAGAAATATCTCATCGTCTCTATACCTCAAGAATCATTCACTGTTGCTCCTCGCTGCCTCCGTTGTTTTGGGATCGAATTGGCGGGGATCGAATTGGCGGGAGTTTTATAGTGGAAAAAAAATTTTTGTTGAATAATTTAATGGAAACGACTATCACGTTTCCTTTATAATAGACAAATTTTAAGGTATATGAAAGAGGGAGATAATTCTATATTTAGAGAGGGAGAGATTGAAGTGTGGTGGTAATGAGTAGAATAAGACACTATCAACACCAACAGAATAATAGCCATGGTGGGAGACTTTATATATCGGTTCACTGAATTATTTATATAACCAGTACATTTAGGATGACTTTACCAAAACAGTATGTCTTTGTCTTTCTTTTCAAGTGTCTCGGCAAGATTGAAGGCCGTTTATTGCTGTGTTGTCCTAAAAGTCAATTGAGCTTTCGGTACACACTGTCTTATCACTCAGGTCTTTTAGGTTTATTTGTTAATATTTCTGGTTGAGATTTTGTAAGGTGATATGATACGACTTTTCGGTCACAATCCAAAGTTTCGACACCCCTCTGGCTGGGTGTTCGCCGAGGCCAGGTGATGCAGTGTTAACTAAATGAATTTGTTAAAGAACCTTAATACGGACTCATCTTAGGTTGTTATGTCTGTCAGTCCTACAGTAATAACATCACCTTGCTGACATTAGTAGACAACTCGACATTGTTCAACCTAGTACTGTAAGTTGTTCGTTTGGCTTTGATTTAATTGGCGGTTTATTGAGGTCTCAGAAACAGAAGTGTTGTCCTTGAAGACGCTAGGTTTAGTGACGAGGGTTATATGCAGTGTCTTATGGTCATGACAGGCGCCGTGAACACGAGATGTAGCATGTCCTCCCTTGTTCTTGTTTAACATTCATACCGACATGATGGCATCAGTTGACGGTAGTATCCGCTGAGCGTCCCAGGACGTGTTCCCACCCCACTTTATTCTTCTTTAAACTGTGAATACTTTTATAGTCTTACTTTTCACTGCTGCCATCAACCAGTTGACTTCCGGCTGCTTAAAACACTGTAAGTTTATCACGAGATGAATTGTAATCACAAGTATGTGACGATCATTAAAACACAAAGATTGGTGATCAGTAATCATTTACAGTACTTCTTGTTATATCTTATAGGATGACATTGATTTAAACGGTCAAAAGACGTTATGGATATTATATTTCAATTTCTTAAAATTTTCTCGTTTTTTACCAAATAATTGATGTTGACATGAACAAGGAACTCTGGTTCAAGTCCGATTGGTTCACTAACACCTGAGCTCTGATGTCTTAGAAGATCCTGAAACATGATGAGGGACTGTGTACCTCTAACAGGAACCTTTTTTTTTTCTTTTTTTTTTACGGGAATTAGCCCACCCGGGCACAGGTCAAACGACCCACAACGGAGCCTGGGGGGCGAAAAAAAAAGAGCGGAAAGAAATTGTAATTATAGAAAAAAAAGGTTTGTGACTTATCAAAATGTCTATGACAATCATCCTTCTCACAAAAGTTATTGAGCTGTAATGTGTTTAATCAAATGACAATTGTAACAGCACCGATTAAAACTGTTAGTGAGAGCAGCGTTGTCCTGGCGAATGTTTTTAATTATTTACTTGTTTCAACAACAAAAATCTAACCTAACCAACCAAACACACCAAATCACTGTGAAAGGATTACCTCGTAGATAATTATTTCTTTCATGCCCATTAAGACTAAACTCGTAAGTTTTGCTTCGTATCACTAATGAATCTCGAAGTGGTTCACTGTCTTGGTTTATAGTGGAGGTGCGGTTGGCTGGGCGTGTTATGTTCCGTCACCCTGCCTCGCCGGGAGCGCCTCGCATACCACACTCTTTAAGATTGGTTTAAGTTTATATTTAAGTGTATTTGTTGTCATGTGGTAAACTGAGCAGCGTTCTTGCAAAACATATAAATGAATCAGTTCGATAAGATCATTTTGGCTCGGCGACTCCTTTTGACCTGATGCACCTGTGTGGCGGTGACCTGTGTCCCTCATGAGCCGTGCGTCACCCCTGCTGCTGTGTTACTTCAGTGTCTGCCTGTACACCTGTGTATCTAAGTCAACGAGGAACTCTTTCCATATAACTCACTGTTGTCTTGTAGTGTTATAAGTTGAGTATTAATGTATTTCCATTTGTTTAATTCTCTTACCATTATCCCACTTCTTACATCAGTTATAATCAAAGTGGAATCTAATGATACAGCGTAAATCAGGTTAAGCTATCTGATAAAGTTGCCCAAGGAAGTTAAACTACTAGCATTAACCTATCCTAACCTATCCTAACCTGTCCTAACCTAACCTCTCAGGTGCCCGCCGCCGCTCTATGTTTACCACTAACACCTACAAGTCAAATAACATGTTGTGTACATCCGGGAAATTATCATTCATTGTTTTTATACCCTCCTTCTCGACCCCCCCCCCCGCCCCCCACTCTCCAACCCGCCTCCCTCCCCCTCACAACCCTCCCTCCTTCACGCCCTCCCAATCCTCCCTCTCTTCTACCTCCCTTTGTCACCCCTCCCAATCCTCCCCTGCTTCTCCTCCTTTCTCAACCATCCTTCCTTTCTTCATCTTCCATCTCCTTCCCTCCTCCTCCTACCCCCCAGCCCTCTGCCTCCACCCCTTCAACCCTCTTCCCCCTACCCCTCCCCTTCAACCCTCCACCAGCCCCCCCCCTCCCAACCCTCTTCCACCACCCCATCCCATCTTCCACCCTCTTCCACCACCTCTCAGCCCAACCACCCTCCTCCACCACCCCTTCAACCCTTTCCACCCCTTCCAACCCTCTTCCACCACCCCTTCAACCCTCTTCCACCACCCCCTCCAACCCTCCAACCCTCTTCCACCACCCCCTCTTCACCACCCCTCTCAGCAATCCTCCTCCTCCACCACCCCCTTCCCCCTGGCCCCACCACTCTTCCACCACCCCCTCCCAACCCTCCACCAACCACCCCTCCCAACCCTCTTCCACCACCCCACATCCCAACCCTCTTCCACCACCCCTCTCAGCCCAACCCTCCTCCTCCACCCCCCTTCCAACCCTCTTCTACCCCCCTTCAACCCTCTTCCACCACCCCCCTTCAACCCTCTTCACACCCCTTCAGCCCTCCTCCACCACCCCTCCCAGCTCTCCTCCTGCCCCTCCCACCTCCTCCCCCTCCCATCCTCCACCACCCCCTCCCCAGCCTCTTCCACCACCCCTCCTCCACCGTCCTCCCACCACCTCCCAACCCTCCTCCACCACCTCCCAACCCCTCCCCACCCCCTCTTCCTCCTCCACCACCCCAGCAACCCTCCTCCCCTCCTCCACCCCTCCTCCACCACCCCTCCCAGCCCTCCTCCTCCCCCCCAACCCTCCTCAGCCTCCTCCACCCCTCTTCCACCACCTCCCAACCCTCCCAGCCCCTCCTCCACCACCCCTCCCAACCCTCCTCCACCACCCCTTCCAACCCTCCTCCACCACCCTTCCCACCCCTCCTCCACCACCCCTCCAACCCTCCTCCACCACCCCCTTCCTTCAACCCTCCTCCACCACCCCCTTCCCAACCCTCCTCCACCACCCCCTTCCTCCACCACCCCTTCCTCTCCACCACCCCTCCCAGCCTCCTCCACCCACCCCTCCCAACCCTCCTCCACCACCCCTTCCAACCCTCCTCCTCCACCCCTCCCACCCCCTCCTCCACCACCCCTCCCAGCCCTCCTCCACCACCCCCCAACCTTCCTCCACCACCCTTCAACCCTCCTCCACCACCTCCCAACCCTCCTCCTACCACCCCCTCCTCCACCACCCCTTCAACCCCTCCTCCACCACCCCTCCCAACCCTCCTCCACCCAACCCTCCTCCCCACCACCCCTCCCAACCCTCCCAGCACCCCCCAACCTCCTCCACCACCCCTCCCAACCTCCTCCCACCCACCTCCAACCTCCCTCCACCACCCCTCCCAACCTCTTCCCACCACCTCCCAACCCTCCTCCCACCACCCCTCCCACCCCTCCTCCACCACCCCTTCCAACCCTCCTCCACCACCTCCCAACCCTCTCCACCACCCCTCCCAACCCTCCTCCACCCACCCCTCCCAGCCCCCTCCACCAACCCTCCTCCCAACCACTCCACAACCACCCCCTCCCAACCCAGCCCTCCTCCTCCACCACCCTCCCAGCCCTCCTGCTCCCCTCCCAGCCCTCCTGCCCACCCCTCCCACCCTCCTCCTCCCAACCCCTTCCAACCCTCCTCCTACCCCTCTCAACCCCCCTACCTTAAACAATAGATGAGTTACTCGTGAAAAAACAACAGTTTCTTTGACCAGTTTATCCATAAGTTGAA